TTGGCTATTGAATATTGCTGCTATGATCATGGGTGTACAAATATCTGTTGGAGTCTCTTTCAATTAATTCTTTTGCTATGTACCCAGAAGTAGAATTGCTGGATCATATGGTACTTATGTTTATTTTATTATTATTTTAAATATATATGTATATTATTGTTTTTGGAATTCACAGACCAACGCTCTATTCATTGAGCCAAACTGGCTAGGGGTTGGTACTTCTTTCTATCTTTAAATTTTTGAGGAATTGCCATAATATTTTCTACACCCATTTTACATTCTCACAGCAATGCACAATGGTTCCAGTTTCTCCATATCCTCACAATACGTCGTGTTTTTGTTTTTGTTAATAGCCATCATAATGGGTGTGAGTGCTATCTCATTATGGTTTTGATTTGCATTTCCCTGATGGTTAGTAATGTTGAGCATCTTTTCATGTGCTTATTGATCATTCATATCTTTTTTTTGTAGAAATGTCTTTTCAATTCCTTTGTCCATTTTTTAATTGGGTTGATTTTTTTTTTTTGGTTGAATTGAGTTCTTTATATAGCCTTTTACCTTTTAATGTTCTTTCACTAGAGGCATTGTTCATTTGACTTTCAAAGAAGTTTTTATAGAAGGGTTACCAGGTCCAAATTTCCTACCTGTGTACTGCTGGTGTTGACTAGTCTCACTACTATTGACTTTTAATGTAGACATTGGTTGGTTGTTGATGTTTTTGGCACAATGCTTTAACAACCTTCAGAGAACCAACGTAGTTTCTTGATTCAGCCAATGTTGAGTAGTACCCTTCAGTTTTGTATTGGTTATGAAGATTCTGGAGCTGATGAAGAGGAACATCACCTAGAGCAGTGGTCGGCAAACTCATTAGTCAACAGAGCCAAATATCAACAGTACGATTGAAATTTCTTTTGAGAGCCAAATTTTTTAAGCTTAAACTATATAGGTAGGTACATTGTTATTAACTTAATTAGGGTACTCCTAAGCTGGCCTTTGCTAAAAATGTGGTATTTGGTGGAAGAGCCACACTCAAGGGGCCAAAGAGCCGCATGTGGCTCGTGAGCCGCGGTTTGCTGACCACTAACCTAGAGGTACTGAATGTGCTGTGCATGCTATACCATTTAATCCTCACAGTATCTTTGTGAGAGCGGTTTTGTATCCCCATTTTTCTGATGGATGAGGACTCTGGGTCAGAGTTAAATATATAACTAATAGAGGCCTGGTGCATGAGATTCGTGCTGTGGGGATGGGGGGGAGGGGCTCAGCCCAGCCTGCTCCCTCTTGCAGTCTGGAACCCCTTGGGGGATGTCTGCCTGCCAGGGGGATCGGGCCTAAGCCAGCAGTTAGACATTCCTCTCGCAGTCGGGGGCTCTTGCAGTCTGGGACCCACCCCTCCTTACTGCCCACCTGTAGTAGAGGCGGGAGAGGCTTCCGCCACCGCTGCTGCGCTCACCCACCATGAGTCTGGGCTTGTGGCTGAGCAGCGCTCCCCCTGTGGGAGCGTACTGACCACCAGGGGTTAGCTCCTGCATTGAGCATCTGCCCCCTGGTGGTCAGTGCATGCGTTATAGTGACCAGTCATTCTGCTGTCAGGCCAAAACCGGTTCTCCGACATCCCTCCAGGGATCCTGGATTATGAGAAGGTGCAGGCCAGGCCAAGGGACCCCACTAGCGCATGATAGGGGTTGAGGAGGGTTGTGGGAGGTTGGCCACTGGGGAGGGCATGTCTGGCCCATCTTGCTCAATCCTGATTGGCCGGATCACAGCAGCAAGCTCACCTACTGGTGGA